AACTCCTGAGCTCAAACAATCCGCCCGCCTCGGCCTCCCAGAGAGCTAGGATTACAGGCGTGAGCCACCGCGCCCCGCCAACAGCTATAATTCTTTAAAAGCAAAGGATTTTCTTTCTGGCTTAATGTATCAACATTAATAATGTTAACAAATACAATCATTAATATATTGCTTCATGAATTATGCTACAAAGTAACTGCTAATCTAAACAAAAATTACCCTCAGAAAACATGCATAACTATTAATTTCTACTTTTTAGTCTAACCTGTGATAAACAGCTTCAATAGGTAAGTTTTCCTGGCACATGGGTTTCAATAGTCTTTGCCTGAGGGACCTCTTCTCTTTTAGCACTGCTTCCAAATGATTATTCATGCTTTGCAGAGTTTGACACTTCTGAGCTACACAAACCAGAAACAGTAATTACAATTAGCAATCAGAAAAGTTTTGGAATTACTAATAATTTCTTCTTTGCTTTGGTTCGACACTATCAATGTCAAAACTTAATCCCATTGTTTCCCTCCCAAATATCTCCCCTTTGCTATCTTTAATACTAATACCAATTTCATTTTTCACTACTTTCTCTTACTTTTCCTACTGATAACCAGATGTAGTGCTAAATTCTTTCCCTGTGTGTCTCAACTTTACCTTTTATTCAGTTTTCATAGCCAGAGCCATATTCTTCACACAAACTCTTTTTTTCTATCTCTGCCTCTAATAGTCTACACTGGAACATTAAAAAAGAATCATTTTACAGCTACTTCTTTTTTCAAGGCAGGGTCTCACTCTGTTGCCCAGGCTAGAGTGCAGTGGCATCATGACAGCTCACTACAACCTCAGACTTTTGCACTCAAGTGATCCTCCTGCCTCAGCCTCCCAAGTAGCTGGGTCTAATGGCGCGTGCCACCATGCCCAGCCAATTTTTAAAATTTTTTGTAGAGATGGGGTCTTTCTACTGCCCAGCTTCGTTTCAAACTCCTGAGCTCAAGCGATCCCCTGGCCTTGGCCTTTCAAAGTGCTAGGATTACAGGCATGAGCCACCATGCCTGGCCCCTTTAGTCTCCTTTAATCTGGAAAGTTCCTCAGCATTTGTCTTTCAAGTTCTCCTGACTTTGAGGAGCCAACGTGGTCACTTTTTATTCTATTTGTATTAGTCAAGTTAACAGAACTTCTATTGGAGTGTAGAAATAAAAGACTTTGTTAGCTTTGGGGCAATACCTAGAAACACTACGGTATATCATAATTTTGCAGTCTGGTGCTTATTTACAATAATCCAAGAAAAAGCTGAAACTCCAATGATTACCCACTTAACCAAACCACTTACCCAAAAAGAAAGGATGAACAATATCTGCTGTATCCTTTGCTAGTTTCAGGAGTTCAATTTCCAGGTTTTTCTACATGAAAAACAAAAGTAACTAACATTTAGCTCACTCAGACAGTATCCTGAAGTTAAGGTTTGGTAAAATGGATAGTCTTTAATCCAGGAACATGCTACAAGGAGTATATTCCTTAAGTGAGATGGGAGGATGATTTGTTTAAGAGCCCAAGGGATTTACTGAAGCTTTTCCCTTGGTGTTCTTGCCCTGCTGCTGTTGTTGTTACTACTACTATTCCTATTAGTATTACTACTACTATTAACTATTACAAGTAAACATCTATCCAGCTATGTGCTAGACAAAAAGTTTTAAGTTCAAGGGAACTGCTGTTTGAATCAGTAAAAAAAATTTTTTTCTGTACTAGAAGCAGAAAGTGAAAAATTCAACATAACTTACCTGGTAGATTTCAGCTTGCATATTTGTGATCTGCTGTAGTTTGGAGAAGTTCATAAAACAAGGAGCTGTTTTCTTAGGTATATTTAACATCTCCTATTGGTAAATGAACAGGGAAAGTAGCAGTTTGTCACAAAAAGTTTCTGTGTACCCTGGAATAGCATGCCCACAGGTCTAAAATGAGAATACATAGTGTCCAACACTGTCGCTGAACATGAAGTACAGAGTAAAACAGTAGCAATGTGTACTTTCTGTTTTTAGAACCTTCACTGTCACAAATCCCTTGCCCAAATAATTAAAAAATAAGAAAAACAAATAAGACAGTCATTTTGTACTATTTTCCTAAGGTATTCTACATAACAGATTTGCATTACTGATAGCTTATCGGAGGATTCTAAGGCTCTACCTTTCCAAGGACGCAGGCCTAGTTTCTCTGACCTCCCTGGGGCTAAAATCACTCCCCCCCCACCATGGAATAATTTATCTGATTCATTAAATGATCTCAATTGTCTATGTTTGCATTTTCATTCTCTTAAAGGAATGTTTGTGCCCAAGCATAATTATTCTTTTAAAAAGGATACCCGTTTTTTTATCCTTTCATTTTGTTATTCTGTTATACTGCCCTCTTAAATTGTAGGTTACCTCAGAATATGAATACTACCTTGTTTACCCCTAGACTTCATCCATAATTTCCTATATCATCTTCTTTTCTAGAATGTTACCAAAGGAAAGAACTTTAGAGATCATATAGGCCAGGAACTGTGAAACTATAGTCCATGAACTAAGTGTAGCTCATTGCCTATTTTTGTACAACCTGTGAGCTAGGAATGGTTTCTATATTTTCAAATTGTTGGGAGAAAAAAAAAAATCAAAGAAAAATTTATACTTTAGGACAGGCATGGTGGCTTACACCTGTAATCCTAGCACTATGGGAAGCCGACATCAGAGGATCGCTTGAGGTCAGGAGTTCGAGACCAGCCTGAGCAAGAGTGAGACCCTGTCTCTACTAAAAATAGAAAAAAAAATTATATTTTATAACACATGAAAATTAAATGAAATTCAAATTTCAGGGTCCAGAAATAAAATTTCATTGGAACAGAACTTCTCTCATTCATTTACATAGTATCTCTGGCTGCTTTTACACTACAATCACCTATTTGAATAGCTGCAACCATATGGCCTGCAAAGCCTCAAATATTTACTATCTGGCCCTTCATAGCAGAAGTTTGCTAACTGAAGATAACCAATTTTATAAACATTTACTGAGTTAGGCAATGGAAGATACAAGGATTAATGAAATAAACTCTCTGCCCTCAAGTGGCTCATGATGGTTGGGAAGGAAAAGGTAGAAAGAACAAAACATTATAAATGTTCAATAACTGTCAGTATAAACATATATGTGAGAAGAAGAGGGGAAAGATGTAGCCAGAAATGTAGTTTCCTACATAATCATAGATGATCTTGAGTGCTATGCTAAATAATCATAATGCAAAAAACAGGAGCAACTGAACATCTTCTGTTAAAGAAGTACCATGATAACATATAATACTTAATTTAGAAATTTAACTGGGGATAATATGAAAAATAAAACTAATGGAGAGCCAGGAGCTAGAGGGCAGAGGAAATAGGAAGTGATTGTCCAATGAGTACACGGATTTCTGATGACACTGTGTACTATATATATACATATGAACTTGTAGTTTGTGGCATCCTTTCTCTTTTTTCTGTCCTTTCTTTTTCACACTGATTTCTAGCTGAGGGACATTAAAAGGGAGGCAGTATAGCAGAGAAATTAAGAGCAGAGGCTGTCAAATGGGGAAGGGGCTGCAGAGGAGGGCAGGACACAGGTTGAGAAAACAGAACTAGTAGATTCTGTGTTTTTTTTATAGGTCCAGATCCTTATCTTAATTCATTGCCAATAGAGGGAGCTTTGATTAAGACTCTGACTCACTAAAAGTTGCTGGAAAAATAGGATGTAAGGCCACTAAAGCAGCCCCAGGGGCAAAATCTAAAGCAAATACTTCATTATCCTACAGTCAACCCTACCTTTCTTTCACCAAATCACTCTCCAACGAATAGATCAAAATAGAACAAAGTTTAAACAAGCTCTGTATTCTAGAAGAGCTGTATAAAATCAGAATTTAGGCATCATTCTTAATTTTTAATGCACATGAATGATGTGCACTATGATGTGCAAGGATGGGCTGTTTATTTTTTGTTTTTTATTATTATTTTTTTATTTTTATTTTTTTTGAGACAGAGTATCACTCTGTTGCCTGGGCTAGAGTGCCGTGGTGTCAGCCTAGCTCACAGCAACCTCAAATTCCTGGGCTCAAGCAATCCTTTTGCCTCAGCCTCCAGAGTAGCTGGGACTGCAGGCATGTACCACCATGCCTGGCTAATTTTTTATATATATATTTTTAGTTGTCCACCTAATTTCTTTCTATTTTTTTAGTAGAGACAGGGTCTCGCTCTTGCTCAGGCTGGTCTGGAACTCCTGAGCTCAAAGGATCCGCCCACCTCAGCCTCCCAGAGTGCTAGGATCACAGGCGTGAGCCACCGGGCCCAGCCAGGATGGGCTGTTTAAACAGATCACGTGACAAATCATTTTGAAGTGATTAATGCTAAATCCTTCTAACAGAAATAGGTGTTCATATATAAAGTTTGCTTAAATTAAAATCAACCTACAAGTTGATAAATAGTTTCCTCATTGGGACTAGCTGTACAATAAGATTGTCAGAGAGTCTTAAGGAGCTATGGAGTGGTAGATCTTAACTACAGTTAAAACAGGTAACTGTCTAATTAATGTTACTTGAGAGACAGTAGGAAGATATCCCTCAAGACAACCACTACCCCAAAAAAGAGCTTATTCATCAATGCCTAAAATTCTCTCACCAGTGCCTTACTCCTTTGGTTTAGGCATTTATATCTTCTACCAACACTCTCTAGAGGGATATTAAGTCCCAAATCTTTTTTTTTTTTTTAAGAGACAGGGTTTCATTCTGTAACCCTTGCTGGAGTACAGTGTCCCTGATCATAGGTCACTGTAAGCTTGAATTCCTAGGCTCAATCAGTTCTCCTGGGACTGGGTGCTGGCTCACACCTATAATCCTAGCACTCTGGGAGGCCCAGAGTGGGAGGATTGCTTGAGGCCAGGAGTTCAAGACCAGCCTGAGCAAGAGTGAGATCCCTTGTTGGGAAATAGGCTAAGAGATGTGAAAAGTTTCAGGGGTTTTGCAGGGCTTTGCCTTGAAGGAATCTGTGGACATGTTAGTTCGTTCACAGAATAGAAGCTGCTTCCAACAAGAGAGGCATTGTCAGAGGACGTTTGCAAAGCAACATTTCTTCTTTGCTGCCGGCCATCGCCTTGAGCTTTTTTGCAAGGCAGAAGCTCAGTTTGGGTTGGTGGAGAAGCTGATTAAAATGCCTGACCAGCAGATAACGTGCAGCTGGAATTATCCTAGACTTGAGGCTATTCCTGCTTCACTCCTGACTATATGTCTCTGTGTTTAGAAAAAGTAGATTAGAGTAGAACACAGACTCAGTGTTCTCATTTTATACATTTTATCTTTAATTTGTATGCTCACCTAGGTCTGTTTCTAACTTAGGGCTTAACATGCTTATCTTAGAAAAATTGTGTAACTGTCTATTCTTGTAGACAGAATTAGGTAAGGTTCCCCTGGAAACCTCAAAAAATGAGCTGTACAAGTAATTCTTTAACAAAAGACAACTATTTGCTGTAACAATAAATACTGATGTGGGATTTCAGTAGATATCTTACAGCTTACGGGAATGCTGGAGACCCCCTAATTCCCCCATCATTTAAACTGCACTTTGTTTCCGTCTCAATCATTTCTCCGTCTATATTATTTCTTTATTTCCTGTTATTTCCAAATCCCTTGCAACAATCCTGCCTTGGGGCCTGTTTTGCTGGGAGAGTAGCTAACTCCCAGCAATTCCTGTCTCTACTAAAAATAGAAAAATTAGCTGGGCGTGGTGGCAGGTGCCTGTAGTCCCAGCTACTGGGGAGGCTGAGGCAGGAGGATCTCTTGAGCCCGGGAGTTTGAGGTTGCAGTGAGCTATGATGATGCCACAACATTCTACCCAGGGTGACAGAGACTCAGTCTCAAAAAAACAAAACAAAAGCAATCCTCCTGCTTCAACCTCCCTAGTGACTAGGACTACAAGCATATGCCACCATGCCTGGCTAATTTTTTAATTTTTTGTAAAGACACATCTCACCATATTTTCCAGGCTGGTCTCAAACTCTTGCCCTCAAGCAATCCTCCCACCTCAGCCTCCCAAAGTACTGGCATTACAGGCATAAACTGCCGTGCCCAGCTCAAATGTCTTATAGTCTGAGTTTACCAAATTATTTTATGACAGGGGAACTGGACTGTACAAGTGAGAGTACTAGGTAACTTGGTAGAAAGAAAACACGGGAGAGAAGTGAGGAAGGATTCAACTGGGGAGTGCCGTGGTCATCCCTGGAAAAGCTGGTCAACTAGGACCACCTGAACATCCCCACCCCCAACATGACACTGGGTCTTCAACAGAAGTTTAAAATCTTTCAAGACAGTATCATAGTATCTTATCACAGTTCATCTTAAGAGATGACACAATGTGTTAGAAGAGGGAGAGTGATAGAATCTAATTCTACTTCACTAGTTGAGTGACCATGGGCAAATTTTTTGCTCTTTTAGGTCTTAGTTTCTTAAATTTAATAATACTGTAACATACTAGAAATCTCTAATCACTCTTCTAAGTATAAAAAGTTATATATTTTATACAAATCTTCCATCATATTCATACTGCAGTTTTCTGCAGATGAGTTTACCTTTTAACTTTTCTCAGTTTCCTGTTTAGTGAAATTTTTCAACTTCTTCTTTATATGAAAATTTATTTCCCTTAGTCTCAATGCCCTTGACCCCACCTTACCCATTCCTTTCTGTCACTTGCATTCCATTATTCCCTCACATGTTCAATTTCTCGGTCTATTGGCTCCTTTCCCATGGCCTATGAACATGGTCTTCTTCTTGTCCAGCCTAAAACTGCCATCCCTTGTGTTAATCCCTTTTCTCTCCTCAAAATTAATCTCTCCCTCTATTCACGTTCCAATGTCTTCTATGCCTTTTTCTCCAATACTTTTTTTTTTCCCCTTTAAAGATGCCAAAAAAAAAGCTTCCCCTGGTGCTCTTCTGTACCCAGCACTTTCACCCCAAATATGCTCCAATGCTCCCCACAAACGAGCGTTGTCGCGAATGCTTGTTTTAATTACCTACCCATATTTCCCAACCCCGCCACACACTACAATCTAGAGGCAGTATCACTGGATGAAAAAAAGCAGGGAAACACTGGTCTGTCTTATCTCCTACAAACGGGCCTGGGATAATTTACCTACAGACACTCAAAACCCAGTCTAATCTAAACACCATTTACTCAGATCCCTGCTTTCGAAGAACCCACGGCAGAACGGTCACAACTGTTGCCTAGAAGAGGCTCTATCCGCCTTTACTCTAGTACAGCCCTCAACAAACACCCTCACACTCCCGCAGCCAGCCCGACCACCTCCCAGCCATATTCTGTAGCCACGGTGGGCAACTCCTTGATGATGCCATCGCTACCCCCACGCACCTGAGTGACTATCCCTGAAGCTACGAAGTGGCTCAACAGTAGCCCAGCACCGTTTGGCGCCGGTGCCGGGTCCCAGGGGTTGGGAGAAGCCATGACTCGCACACACCTCCCGGGACGGCGCCAAGAGTGAGCCGAACGCAGGGCGAACGCGCGGCGCGGCTCGATGACGACACAGGCAGTTCCCGCCCAGGCGGAAGCGCGGGGAACGCATCTCCAGCTCGCGCTGGTCCTGGGTCTTCCCCTGCGGAAGCCTCAGTCAGCTGAGCAGTAGGAGGTGAGTCTGGATTTCGCTGATCCTCCATAAGCTCCCAGAGGCGCCTGGCTTCGGCTGCAAAAGGGGCAGGGCTTGGTGGTCGGGCTGTCTCTTCTTCCCTTTCTTCCTTACCACTCTTGGGCTGGCCCCCAGGATCCAAGGATCGGCGGGAGATGACAGCTGGGGCAGGAGACCCAGCCGGGAGGCCGACGGGGTGGCTGTGTGCCTGGACTGGGCTGTGACAGCTGCGCTTTCTTCCCGCAGGGACGTGAGTGGCGGCGCTAGGATGGGAAACAGTGCCCTCCGCGCTCATGTGGAAACGGCGCAGAAAACTGGTGTCTTTCAACTTAAGGACCGAGGACTGACCGAGGTGAGACTGGGAGGGACCCGACCAGGGAACTTAAAGGGACAGGGACGGCGGGGGCTGCGAAGTTAATCGATGAGGGATTCTCCGCTCTGTGAACTCCTTTCTCCAGTTCCCCTCAGAGTTGCAGAAGCTGACGAGCAATCTCAGGACCATCGACTTGTCCAACAACAAGATCGAGAGCCTACCGCCTTTGCTGATAGGGAAGTTCATTCTCCTGAAGAGCCTCTCCCTGAACAACAACAAACTGAGTATGGCTTTTGCCTGAGAAGCTTTTGCTAGTGATCAGCTGTTACGAAGGGTGGTTTTCTCTTGCAAGCTGATTTTTTTTGTTGTTGGTGGTGTTATGAAACTGTTCAGAGGACTCAAGATGCAGAATGTCAGAGTCCTTGAAGCTTTCTACTTCTTGTAATTACATCTACCAGCCTCCTCGGGTGGTGTAATGATTATTACTGGGTTAATTTGGACTTGAAAGGGAAGAACATCTTTGGGATGTGATGTAAACAAGAGCTACCTAATTTGGAAGGGGGGAAGCAATGGGAAGGGGAGGATCCTCCAAGTCTCACAAAATTCTGTTGAATTGTGCCTGGGCCCCTTTACAAAAGGAGCCCATTATATACATAAATACTCTCCTACATTTTGATGGCACCCTCACCTTCTGAAGATTATGTTAGTAAAATGCAGTACCTAAAAATGGCACATGTGGGAATTCTACCTATATTAACAAGAGGCAAAGTAGGCTGCCAGATAGTCTTTATAAACTTCATCAAAGGTGTTTTAAGCTCTATCAGATTCAGGTTTTTAAAAAATTTTCTTTGCTAGCTGTTCTTCCTGAGGAGATATGCAATCTGAAAAAACTAGAGACGCTAAGCTTAAACAACAATCACCTGAGAGAGCTGCCATCTACCTTTGGGCAACTCTCTGCCCTCAAGACCCTGAGCCTCTCTGGGAACCAACTAGGAGCACTACCACCCCAACTTTGTAGCCTACGGCACCTGGATGTGGTGGATCTCTCTAAGAACAAGATTCGAAGTATACCCGACATAGTAGGGGAACTGCAGGCCATCGAACTCAACCTCAACCAAAACCAGGTCTGGAGCTTAAGGTTTTTTGCTACAATATATGTGTGGTTTATGGCCTCCTGATAACCTCGTTTCCTAAACTGTCATCATGGAGCTAGGTATCAGAGTCTAGATGAGAGATATATTCTATGGGCTGAACTAATTTCAAAGCCCAAAGTGCCATGGAGTTAGTTGGGACACTAGGTGTGTTAGTTGTGTAGTTGTTTGGGGGAGGGTGGGATACGTAACAGGGTGAGATCATTCAAAAGTTAAATTACTGTCTCACAAATCTTTTTTTTTTTTTTTGTTGCCCTGGCTAGAGTGCCATGGCGTCATCCTAGCTCACAGCAACCTCACACTCCTGGGCTCAAGCGATCCTCCTGCCTCAGCCTCCCGAGTAGCTGGGACTACAGGCATGTGCCACCATGCCCAGCTAATTTTTTCTATATATTTTTAGTTGTCCAATTAATTTCTTTCTATTTTTAGTAGAGACGGGGTCTCGCTCTTGCTCAGGCTGGTTTCGAACTCCTGAGCTCAAACAATCCGCCCGCCTCGGCCTCCCAGAGAGCTAGGATTACAGGAGTGAGCCACCGTGCCCGGCCTGTCTCACAAATCTTGAAGAGTTCTTCAGATCCTCCTCAAATATGCCCCTAATCATCTAGCAAGGGGCTATGTCAGGGATATAGCATGGAAATGAGGCTTAAGCTCAGTTTCTGAGAGTCAGACATCAGAGATAATTCATTTCTCTTTTTTTGTTTTACATCTTTGTTAAGTGTGTGTACTGTTTTTGCTGAAAAACCTTAAGTGATAGGCTTTCTGGAGATAGCCCATTTCATTGTTGCACCGCTTTAAGTATAATATTTAAAATTTGTTTCCATTACTTTGGAAGCTTTTTGGGTAATATTTATCTGTCTGGAAAAACAATTCAAAGATTGTTGCCTAAGCATAAGGCACAAATGATGACACATTAAACATTGTGAGATTGGGTAGCCTTTAGTTTTCCTTGTGTCTACTTCTAGATCTTCGTGGTCCAGTGCAGTAGCCACTAGCCACATATGGTTATTACTGTTCTAGATTGTAGTGATCTTAAATTATGATGAAATTCAGCCAATCTTTGAGAAGATTGGCTTCATCTTTCTCTTAAAGTGGATATTGCTGTATGTTCTTGAACTTTTTGGAAAAAAACTGTGAATCAGTTAAGCAATAAGTGTCAGCTAAGGACTTACTCCACATTCACCTCTGCTGATGTCCTTAGTCAATGGTTCTCAGACTATCGTGTGCATGAGAATAACCAGGAGAGCTTGTTTAAGGAGATCACTGTGTCCCTACCGTGAGTGTTTCTGATTCAGTAGCTCTGGGATGAGGTCTGAGAATTTGCATTTCTAATAAGTTCCCAGGTGATGGTCTGAGATGGTACCAGGCAGAAGCAATAGAATTTGGTGACTTATAGCATTTAAAAGGCAAAAGAGGTGAGTCAAAGACAGTTGCTTGAGGGCCTAAAAGAACAGTGATGCTACTGAGAATGGATATGCTGATATGCTGAATTATTTATGGTGAATCATCTAAATGGAAATGTTTTGCTGAAAGTTGGAGACATAGGAGTAGAGAAGAGTAGCTATGAATGTAGATACATGCTTTGAGGTCACAACAGAAGTGATGGCTTTAAGAATCAATGTGCTTTCTAGGAGAAAATTTGGAGAGATTAAATATGAAGTATTAGGGACTGCTGCTTGAAAAATGTCCATAGGAACAAGGGAAGCCAAAAATCATGAATAATTCAAAAGATAGGAAGAAAAACCAATTACTTATGCGTAAGAAGAGTTTTAAGGAAGGGATAGATGGTACAGTTAAATGCAACAGGGAATGAGGACAATGGATCCCTGAATTTGGGAGTAAAGGAGTAAAGTGGTATCTATGTACACATAAAAGATTGACAGTAAGTGTCCCAAAATGTTTATGGTGGTTATTTCTGGGTGGTGGATTACAGGTAAACTTTTTTCTTTAAATTTGTGTGATTCTCAAATTTTATATAATGAACATATAGTGCTTTTATTATCAGAAAATTTTGTTTCCAAAAAGCCACTGGTGACCTTCATAAAGCATTTTTTTAAAAAAGTGGAGGAGTAGTAACAGAAGCTAGATAACAGAAGCTTCTGGAGTGAGTAGGTAGTGAGAAAATGGAGGTGGTAAAAGACAGGAAAACTAGGACAAATAGTCAAGTAAAGATTTTTAGTTTTAATGTACTAAGAAGTAACCAATATAGTGCTTATGCTTTTTCCTATTATTCTTTTGTTGTTGTTCAATAGATATCTCAGATCTCAGTAAAGATATCTTGCTGTCCTCGTCTTAAAGTTCTTCGCCTGGAAGAGAACTGTCTTGAGCTTAGCATGCTTCCACAGAGCATCCTCAGTGATTCCCAGATCTGTCTACTTGCTGTGGAAGGCAATCTTTTTGAAATAAAGAAACTTCGAGAACTGGAAGGCTACGATAAGGTATGAGTTAGTGTTATTCTGCATTTCTAGTCACTACCCCAGAGAAGACAGTGGTGACATAACCCACATGAATGCTACAGCTAATGTCAACAGGATTTGTTCTTCCCCATTTTGGAAGTGGGTTCTAAGGACCAGCCAAATGGTATTGTGCCAAGATGACTTTTTCTCTATAGACAGCTTATTGTAAAGCATCTTTGTCTTTTGATGTGTTTCCTATTAAAATACAAAAATTTTTTTAAAACTATGTGCTTTAAATTTGCATTTTAGAACAGGTAGATTGTATAGGAAATGATGAATCAGATCCAATAAAAGCCAAAATGGAAAAAATATATATATATAAAAGCCTAAATAACAAATAGTATGGCTTATATTTGTTTGCTCATACCAAAATACTACATATGTATTATTTCATGTTTTTCAGTACATGGAGAGGTTCACGGCCACCAAGAAGAAGTTTGCATGATGTTCTCCAGGACCATGGGAACCTTATAGGATACTGACTTGGATCCTCTGTTGGAATCTGGCTGAATCAAAGGATCCTATTGTTGTCAAGGATATCTGCAGTGAGGAGATGATTCTACAGGAGATTATATTTCACACAATGAATTGTTTCCTTTTCAGGGCTCTTCTCAAATAAGGAATCGGGAGATAGGAAGATTCCTTGATTTTGAGCCATGGATAGAGCAATGCACAGGGTTGATCTTCAAAACCATCGTTAGTTTGGCTTTCAGAAACCAGTAGCTAGATGCTATTTATACAGTGAGCGGTGCTGCCTGTAACAGAATAGCTCCACACCACAGCTTGAGATTTTGTTTAGTTTCAATGTGTGAGCTTTCATAAAGTCGGTTGCTGTTCCATCTCTGTGTTAACATTTCATATTTTTATGAAATTCAAATTTGTGAGGGGCTGCTATGGTTAATGTAAGG